CTAAAGCAATAGTATTGCTGCCTTCGCACACACTACTGAATATTAATTAGCAGCTGTCACCTCTCAGGGTAAATTATGACAATCTTCTGAAAGTTTGATTAAGATTGAGCATGTCTCGCTACACCTTTGAGTGCCATAACAGTCCCCAAAAAGCACTAAAGCTTGTCCTGTGAGTCTCCTGTTCAATGATGTGACGTCAAAGAAAGAATGGCTCACTATCCCCATGAAACCCATTACAGAAGTTTTCCCCCCTCTCTTCTCTTGCAAAGTCTGTTCGTTTTTATTTCTTCTTCTGCTGCTGCACAGTTCAAACATTTGATCTGATAAGAGTGGAAAAAAGCTGATAACAGATGTGTAATGGTCTGGCCACATATCAGAATTGAGTAACACTCCAGGCTATTGCAGAAAACCCAGTAGTGAGTGAGCAGCAATGCAAGAAATGTAACATTGCTTGAAAAAAAGTCTCCTCAGGAGACCTTTCTGTTTGCTAAGAGTGCTGCAAGTGCAATACATGTCATTTCATCAGCTCGGTGTGTGTTATGACATGAATGAGATTAAGCTCATAAAACTGGATGACTCAGATTTGCACTTGTGCCCCGCCAGCAGACTGTCTTATCATTTCTATTTCTGCAGGATTTGCTTTGCCTCCTCCGCTGTCCTATTCTGAAGAAGAATAGATTGAGGTAAGAAAGCGACGGGAGACGGGAAAGTTTATGCAGAAGACTGGACCGAGGACAGAGAGAGAGAGAGAATGGACACTCGGCAGTGTGCAGAAATCTGAGAGCTCATCAATCACTCTGTAACGTTATGCAATGGAGCTCTGCAGGAGAGGGTGGAGACCCACACGAACAGCTGTGGCCGATCTGAGCACGCTAAGCAAGAGTAAGCGGCACTGTGGGAAAGCAAAGAAATGTGGGAGTAGGGGTGGAAAGCAGTTACACCACATTTATCCTGCGGCTAACATCACGATCGGCATAGTCAGGATGATTTTTATATTATAATGAACTCTGTACACTGTCTGCAAAGAGCTGGAGTGCACAAAGTCGACAATTCCTCGGCATGTGTTCCTATCCTGGAAACTGTGAATCCATGCATATGTATGCACTCCATACACACAGTTTAACAGATAGCCAGTAATGAGGTGTTGTTTTCTTGTAGCGGTTACAATGCAGGGCCTGTAACTGGAACATTTCAGGGTTGGGTTCTGGAAATATTTTCATATTCATATTCATATTCCCATGTATATCTTTCATAGAGCAGTGGCGTGCACAAACAGGGGGGTCCAGGGCCCAGGGCCCAGGGGCACATAGAAATCGCAGTCCGGGGGCACATAGACCGGACTGAAAGGGCACTTTACCGCCGGCGATTAAAGGGGCAGGCGTGGATGGGTAGGTTTAGGGTAGGGGTAAGTATGGACATTTAAAAAAGCCTCAAACCACATGAATAAGATGCTGGTAGCACAATCTGGTAGGTAGCATTTTTCGCTATCGATTTGTGCTACCTATCTTTTTAATGGGAGGTAGCACAATCTGAGCGGGTAGCACAAATCGTCAGAACACCGGTGAGATTTTTTTTTAAATAACTTTTTTTATATTAGCGACATGTTAACATGCTAGCAACATGCTGATTATACTAAAAACATGCAAGCAACATGTTAACATGTTAACTACATGCTAATCATATTAGAAACATGTTAACAACATGCTAATCATGCTATCAATATGGTAATCATACTAGAAACATGCTAGCAACATACTAGTATCATGCTAATCAGGCTAAAATCATGCTAATCATGTTGGAAAAATGTTAACAACTTGTTAAATCTCGTTGTCAATGTGCTACATAATACTAGCAGCATGCTATCAACATCTATCTAATCTATGTAAATTTTCAAACTTCAAGCTTTTACAACTGCTTAATACTTTCAGGTTAGGCTTTCTCAAGCCACCCTAAAGTTTGCCTTGACAAACTTTTTTTATCTAGTTTATTCCTGTGACGGCAAAGCTGAATTTTCAGCATCATTACTGATCGTTCAGAAATCATTTATGCTGATGGGGCTAAGAACTATATCAAATAAATATTTAAATGAGAAAATGAATGGGAAAAATACCTCTGGAACCAAGGCCTCTGAAAAAGTGCCAAGTCACTGTTGGGCTCTGTTTATCCCTGCTGGTGGATGTCATAACTACATCATGTTGTCAAAAAACATGCTTCTCTATTGATGGCCTTTTAAAGTAACTGCTTTTCATATTTCATGATATTATAGAAAATGTTCTCCAAGGGAGCAGCTATATTTGCAAGGCTCTTAAAAGCATGAAATTAAATTTTTTTTGTGCTTTTGACAAGTGATCAGTCACATGTTTCTGAAACCGAGTGCCCATCAAGCAAAGATGGCATCCTCTAGGTCGTGCACTTCAAGGGGGTTATGTGCTACAGAAGCCGAGCGACTACAATTGAGATGAATGGGAATGCTATCGGATAACTTTCTCTGTGTATTACAGACCTCTGGGGTTCATTCGCTGCAAGGAGCGAGCCAAAAGCCATCACCACTGTGCCCTTGAGGAGGCACTTAACCTCAGGTTTCTCCATGGGAATTGTCCCTATAATAAAATCATGCCATCATTCTGTTGGAACATCCTACAGGCTGTTCATTTGGTAATAACCAAAGATCATATTCCTGAGACAAAATAATAACAAATGCACTGATTTCTCCTTGGCAGGTTGTTTGACAGCTACTACAGTAAGACTTGTGTGCCAAACACAAAAGCTTATCCTTCATTCAGCATGTGCCATGGCAGGAATTTTCTCACTTGGATCAAACCACGTTTTCATGCACGTCAGGGCTCAGAAACATGAGACATCACGTTTGGTACAACAGTGCCGTTGCTCGATTAGGAACCAATGTTGATGCCACTCAAAATAAATTAATGGAGTTACAAGCAAGTGGTGTTGAAAGTTTGCCTATCATCTTCAACAGCTCAAAGTAGAAAGCTGTCAGTCACACTCCTGACCTTCACATCCAGAACATGACCTCAGAGGCCTGGAATCAGAGCCATATGATCATCACGCTATGAACGCAGAGCTGAGAGGTCATTTGAGAAGCTGTTATTAGCCCTGAGCTCAGGGTGAAGGAAACATGTAGTGTTCACAATCACGTTGTAGCTTCTGCTTCAGTAAATGATCCAATTTGCTTTCGAGTTTTCTTATCGAATGCGCATCGAAACTGTGAGAACCGTTTTGAGGGTTTTACATGAGCCCCCGCAGGTGCTACTAAGCTCCTCGGAATGTGTTGACACTAATCCCATTTCAGTTTAAGCTATTAAACCATCTAATAAGTTTTTATTTATCTGTTCTCCGCTAAGACCTTTTTAACGTGCAAAGCTACTGCATTTCAGGAAAGGTAAGGGGTTATGTGTTTCTTGGAACTCTTGTCGATTCCTTCTGTTGGAGTCTCTTCATATTAGTGAAGAATGCTAGAGATTAAACATATGTAGTTATGGGTTTACTAAAAGCTTCACTGCCTTGTAATTTTTGTGGATCCGGCCCTGTTTACTTTTTTACTGTGATTTCTTTTGATGTGACAGTTTTATGGGGTATGTTTAAGGTGATCTGCTCTGAGGAAGCAATTAGCCATCTTCTCCTGCTTTAGAAGTGGGAAGACGCCACTTGTCAACTTTTGAATGAATGACTTTGATGGGCACTTACGGGTTTGAAATGGTACAGCATGTCTGCAATATGCTCCCTTTTGTCGCTAAGCAATGTTGCACTATAAACCGACAGAATGCGCTTTTGCCTTCGCTGGTTGTCAAACAGACTGATAGATACAGGATTGGTGCGCATAACATTCTTTCATTTTTGCTCCGTCTCTTTTGCTTTGAAGTTTGAGATGAAGGGGAGAACAGCTGGGACGTCTGAAGCCAAAGGAAGAGTGTGGGAGGTGGTGTAAAGTGAAAGTTAAGCATTGTGGGTAAGTGTTTGTGTGTGTGTGTGTGTGTGACAGGTATCCACTGTCTCTCGTTGGAAAGGGACAGCAGCTATATTTAGCACCTCTGACAAGTTTCCACCACTCCTGTCAGGCAACAGTATACCCATAATTACAGCGTATATGTGTGTGTGTGTTTCAGTTTGACTGCGTTTCAGTCTGGTATTTAACGTCAGAGGGCCGTAAGAGGCATTGTGGGAGTTTTTGTTATTTGTAATTCATCCACCCTCACATTATTTTGCTCTATATCTTGATTAACATACAAACCCTGCAATTCAACTGTTCTGACCTGATTCATTTCAATTTCAATGTACTGTTTGCACATAATTACTAAAACACAGTTTCTCCTCAATAACCTTCATGTGGATTATTTCCATTCAGCAATAGAGGCACATGTTCTGCTGTATTTTACTTCCACCTAGTGGATGACTGCGACATCACACATGAAGCAGACGCATATATTGGCCAATTCAATTGAGAATGACATTACATAATACTGTTATGAAATATTTAAACAAAAAAACCTGAAATTTGAAAAAGTGGTTATGTAATAGCCTTTTGAGAAAATGTTTGAAAGCAACAGAAGTACCGCAGTGTAAATTCAGTGTAATCTGATTTAGGCCTACTGAACATCATATGCTGTGCTTTAAAGTTGTTTGCATAATTACGCCACCAAATGCGGTCTAAGAGCTTTTTCAAAACCTGTGAATGCAAACACTGTCATTTCAAATTTGGTGGCAGTGAAGCGACTGTGATATGGAAAGAGGTTAACTGGCTCTTTGAAGGGAGAGGAGCGGTGGGTTTCCCTGTCAACACCATCTTCTCAGTGGCAGATGAGGTCAAACAGGAGGGGGTTGTTCTAAACTGCCAACAGGATGGAATTTTAGACACTCTCCAAGGTCCCCCTATCTGTGACTCCTCCAATCCCACTGCACGTTGTTATTCTCGGTGCCCTCTAAGATTTATGCTCGTCACTTACGACTTGCCTTCGCTTTGCGATATTGTGATAGGTAAGACTTTATGTGTTAGATTTGCATGGACAAATCTGTTCTGTACTTACACCATAGCTGGATTTGAGATTGATTTGTGTTATCAGCTTCCCATAAAATGGACCATTCATACATATAAGTTGTCTGCCTGTTATGCAACGTTTCATGACCTTTGGAAGAGATGCATGCGTGGACACCTGCAATGTGGACAAATGCAAGGTAGAGCAGTAACGTTATTATATACTTAACTTTAAAAGTAGACCGCATGTTTATTCTTTCATTCCTTAAAATCGGTTTTCATGATAAAATAAGTAATCGCTACAAGGTTTCATTATGCACTAAATAAAACAACGTATAAAAAGAATAAACGAAATTTATAACTTAAAACACCACCTAATTTAAAGTAGATTTGGGTTTGAATTGACTGCTGGCGAGCAGTTTCGTTTTTGATCGAATCATTTAAGTTAATGAATCATTCAGGTTCGAATGAATCATTAATATTTCTTGTTCAAGTCGCTTCCTTTTGAAGCATTTGACTTCCTTCCTACCCAGTGATTTGAGAATGAAGCGTCGTGAATTAAGGCTGGATTAGAAATATAATACTACTCTTAATATTTAAATATATTTGCTATTTATAAATAATAAGCATAGTAGTATTCAATTCTCAATTCAGCCCAGTGGCGGAGACAGAAAGTGGTTGGCGGGTGGGTCTCTAAAAGAGTGGGTGGGCCTGATAATTCGCATGACCCGGCTCAATAATATTAATAATAATAATAATAATAATAAAAGAAAGAAAGAAAGAAAGAAAGAAAGAAAGAAAGAAAGAAAGAAAGAAAAACGATGGACTGGTCCGAAATGCATTCAAGACGGATTGCAATCCGATCTCGCAAAACACTTCAGACGGTGGTCTGAGACACATTCCAGAAGCAACCGGATAAGTGTAAATGCATAGGGTTGTTGAACAACATATTAATTTGACCACTTCGCTACTGCAACACGCATCTTCACAGATATCCCTGTTGAAAAAAGCAGCATATGCTGGTTAGGTATGTTTTGACGCTGGCTGGTCCTTTGCTGGTTTAAGCTGGTCCTTTGCTGGTTGATGCTGGTCCTTTGCTGGTCCTTTTGCTGGTTTATGCTGGTCATGTGCTGGCAAAGGACCAGCATAAACCAGCAAAATGCTGTTTTTTTCAACAGGGATGACCCACTGTAGCCTAGATGAACGTCTCTCTACACAGCAAGCGGACACGCAAACTTCCGCAAATGAAACTGACAGTTCGGCGTCGCATTCAGGGGTACATTCATCTTAATTAAAACTAGTGAGACTAAATTCTCTAACCACTGATGACATTGGTGATACCTATTTAAAAAATGAGTGAGGTCTGGGGTGGTTTAAGAATTGTGCTCTACAAATCAATGCCTTGTCCAAATACCCACACTTGCGGTCTTTGGTCTTTGCACTTGACTACTTATATGACGTATTTCCTGTATTTGGCCCAAGTGTTCAAGCGAGCATGAAGACCACAAGTGTTGCCTTGTCCAAATACCCACACTTGCGGTCTTGGCCATTTGAGAGCGAGTGCGCACGACCGGAAGCAAGTGCGCAAGACTGTCCCAGTTCTTAAAAACGCCAAAGCGCAGTACCCTTAACACACACTAAACCCACACTATCTTGAATACTGCTCCGGAGCAGTATTCGAGGCTTAGTGTATCCCATCATGTATCATGTTGTGGAAAAAAATCGTGAGACTTTTTGCCGAGATCTCGTGAGAGGTCACGGAAACCTTTCTAATGTATGTGACATATTAATAATAATTAGATATTACATATAATTTGGTAGTAAAACAAAGAGTTGCATGTTTTATTGGTGCAAATGAGTAGTGGTGATAATTATTTTGTACAACATTTGCAACTGCTTTTTATCACTAGAAGCACCACAAAATTAAATTGTGTCATCTGTTATAGGGACTACTGAACAGACATTTAGAAGTTTATTTTAAAATGCAAAGTATTGAAAATAAAAATTAAAACTCTGTAAACACTTGCATTTTTACAACACTATAGCCTAAGTGTGTCCCATCAGGTAATGAAAAGTGGTACACACACGTGTGGTCTTCATCCTCACCAAATACAGGAAATACGTCATAGAAGTAGTCAAGTGATCAAGTGCAAAGACCGCAAGTGTGGGTATTTGGACAAGGCATTTGTGTCGAACTTTTCATTACCTGATGGGACACACTTATATAGTGTTGTAAAAATGCAAGTGTTTATATAGCTTTTTTTTTTTTGCATTTTAAAATCAACTTCTAAATGTCTGTTCAGTAGTCCATATAACATGACATCATTTTAATTTGTGGTGCTTCTAATTAAGTGATAAAAATCAGTTGCAAATGTTGTACAAAACAAATATCACCACTACTCATCTTTGCACCAATAAAACGTAAAAACACTGTTTTTCTATGTGTTTTATATGTATGTAAATTATATTATATCTATGTAAATTATATGTAATATCTAATTATTATTAATATTTCACATACATTGGAAAGGTTTCCGTGACCTCTCACCAGATCTCAACATGATGCATGATGGGATACACTAAGCCGCGAATACTGCTCCGGAGTGGTATTCGAGATAGTGTGGGTTTAGTGTGTGCTTAAGGGTACTGCGCTCTGGCGTTTTTAAAGGGGTCATTTGATGCTGCTAAAAATAACATTATTTTATTTGAGGCTTTAGTCTTTGCAACTTTACAGATCTTCTTTATGCACCAAGAGCTTGTAACACTCCAAAGAGAAAGGAAAAATTGAAATCGCATCATATGACCCCTTTAAGATCTGGGACAGTCTTGCGCACTTACTTCCTGTCACGCACATGCCAAGACCGCAAGTGTGGGTATTTGGACAAGGCACAAGTATAGGCAACTCATTAGGTTATATACACTAAACACGTTTGTGAAAGATGTTTTCTCTGTTTTGGAGGGATGAACACTGTTAAATTATATTTATTGCATCAAAATGTGTTAATAACCTACCTCACTATAGGTTATGGATAATTTTATCCTACCAGGCGCGTTACGTGACTAATAAATATTCATGAGCTAAGCTTTCTCCGTAGTACTATTGGCGAATTCGTTTCCTATCTAGGAAGTTAAACATTACGAGTAGTGATTCAACGCGATTAAGCATTTACAGTGATTAATATCGTTATCGATAGCGAAATTTCATATTATGTGATGAATATAAACACAAAAGGAGGGCTCATTTGAGACGGTAGGCTGTTCTTTACGTGACTTTCTGTTGCTGATGTGGAGCTCAAGCCATCACGATCCGTGTGTAACCCATCATTGTTTTCCGCATCTGTCCTTCTCATCAATAACATTCCGTTTCGATGCACAAACGTGTGACACATTTATTTGCTAGAGGAACGTTTTGTTGTGAGATTTGTCAGTGGTATCTATGGGAATGTGCGACTTGATATTGCTATGGCAACGTGTCATCAGTGCTTATGGACCAAAACATGAATATCATCGAAGTGAAACCTTTCAGATCAGATTGTTGATACATTTTAGATCATTATATTTGTACATTTGTATCATTATATTTCTATTTAAAAGTAGCTTGAAAGAGCTGACTACTAATGCAAATATCTGTGTGATTATCATGCATAAACACATGAACAGGGATGCAGTAATACTAGTGCAGCTTCACTGTTTACACATGCTTAATGTTCAAAAAATCCCTTACAGATAAATCACTTACAATGAATGTTGCGAGGAAAAATACGTTTACTTTATTTGTAGATTGGGGTTCAAAAGACTGCTACCACACTAAAAGACTGGAACTGGGAATGCAAATGAATTATGCAATAAACAATGTCATTTTAGGATCATTGATGGTTTGAATCAGTTTTTGCTTTTATTTTTCATTTTCATTTCTTTTTTAATTTTCATTTTAAAATAAAATGAGTAATATTGTAGCTGAAATAAAAAAAAATTTTTTTTGAATATTTTATTTTATTTTAGTTAATGCTAACTTAAAGTAATGAAAATTTGATTTTTTTTTAAATGGCTTTTAGCTTTGGTTTTAGTTTTAGTGAGCTATAGTAATCTTGGTAAATAAATAGGAAATTGTAGGGTTTAGAAAAAGCAAACCTGATAGTACTGATTTGAAGTGTTGATTTTTAACATTTAAGATACAAACATTTATTTTATACTATTATATATTTTTATATTATGTAAAATCTCATTGTAGCCATATATTTTATCATTTTATTCAATGTTTTTCTGAACAAAAATAATGCCAAAAAAATTAGTGATATCCTAGAATCAGAATTCGTTAGAAAGCATTACATCACCAAATACTTACGTTTGTTGTGCAGCTTGTCACTTAAATTATTTATCATTAGAAAAAAGCAAAAAAAAAAAGCATCTGGTCTCAGACTTATGAACCCCAGCCATATGTTTTGGTATAAATTAACCCCTTTTTTTGGATGTACCTACATTGGTGTTGAAGAGCTGTCTTCAATTGCTTCTCTGTTGCTCAGAGGGAGCGGACCGGAGGCTCCACCATGGCCGGAGATGAAGTTCGGCAGAGGAAAGGAGGTGGCCGCAAGAAGCCCAAAAAGGGGAAAGGGAAGGGGCAGGGTGGTTTGGATCGGACTGGCAGTCTAGAGGGGCAGAATGACCTCCTGTTACCCCCTCCCACCATACCACTCAAAAAGCCTGTGGAAGACAGGACCAAAACAGCCCAGGCTAAGATAGAGGATGAGTCGGCTGTTTCTATCCGCCTGCAGGTGCTGTTCCTCTACCTGCTGGCTGGGATGGGGATGGTGATGGCAGGCATGGTGCTGGACAGTGTGCAGGTAAGAGACTTCTGAAGAACTTTCTGCAACTTTATGTAACACTTTATAGCCTGACATGACTTTCCAACAGTTTGAGGTTGATGCTATAGCAGCTAATGTGCCCACTTTAATGATCCAGCATGTCAAGTGCTGATATTTATGGTTAAGAAAAAAATAATGAAAAGTCGAGATGTAAACCCAGAATTACTAGAAATAAGTCAGAATTGCAAGATAGAAACCTGAAATTTTAAGTTAAAAAGTCAGAATTGCGAGATGTTGACTCAAAATTGCGAGATATAAACTCAGAATAGTGAGAAATAAAATCAGAATTGTGAGGTCAACTCAAAATTGGTTAGAAATAAAGTCAGATTTGTGAGATGTTAATTAATAACTGCAAGATATAAACTCAAATTGTGAGAAATAAAGTCAAAATTGCAAGATGTAAACTAGGAATTGCTAGAAAAAAGTAAGAATTGTGAGATGTTGTTAATTCATAATTGCAAGATATAAAGTCAGAATTGTGAGAAAAAAGTCAGAATTGTGTGTTATGAACTCAGAATTGTGAGATATTAACTTAAAATAGCAAGATATAAATTCAGAGTTGTGAGATAAATGTCACAATTACCTTTTTTATTTTTTATTCTGTGGCAGAAACAGGCTTCCATGTGAGAGTAAGTAAATATTGAATATTATATCCTGTGCCTAAAATTTGTTGTTATAGAACCAGTTGTCATATAATAGTCTTAAGAGATGCTTTGTTCTGACGGTGTTTAATGAATGAGATGTCTGTCTGGATTTGCTGCGTCACTGTGCCATGTTCACGACCGAGCAGGTTTTTTTTTTTTTAGCTGAATCATGCCCCTCTTTCCACCATGTCCTCTACGTACTGGCAAGCGGTAGAGTGGTGAGTAATCGAACAACGCTGGGAGTGGATGGTAGAACCCCATCGGTTCTCAATCTGTCTCTTTGTCTCTCATACACAATCTCGATCTATCTTTTCCTCTCCTCTTTTCCTTTCCCCCCTCGTCCGTCTGCCAAGCACTCAGCCCATTCACAGCTGATAAGACAGGTTCAGTAATACGTCAGAGGAGACATTAGCAGAGAGCAGGACAAGAGGACAGACACAAGACTCTGAGCAGATGAAACGGTTGATGGGAAGTAATAAGGGTTAGACGAGTGACTGTTCGAGGGCCTGATGCACCGGTGAGGAGGGGGCCTAAAGGACTGGCCACAGGAACGAGTGGAAATAAAGCCTCAACATGTGTTTCTGTCACATTCTGGACCTGTTAGACCAGGCCTGATGACGGAGAGGAGTTTAAATCGACGTTGATACGGACAGGACTGTTTGTCATGTGAGTCATGACTCCTGTGGTGGAGAGAAGCTGCGCCCTGGAGAACGTAGTGTTCGTGTACATGGACGTACCAGCGACCTGCGAGTGAAAAAAAGAGGCAGCTTGGGAATTATTGTAGCAGTCTTCAAGGGACAGCAGTGGAGAACAACTAGATACTTCATTTCTGGCGTTCAGAGAACCAACTCAGCTAAGGCTTTTTTGAATGTGAAGGTTCCTGTTGGATTTTGGTTGAAAACCCACGTGGCATTGATAGATGAATGAATGACATCTTCAAGAAGAACTGAAATTCAGCCAACTTTTTGGGCCTTTGCTATCGTGGGACAATCTGAGGATACTAAATTGCCTCATCATTTAATCTTAAGAACATCCTGTTTTCTTAGTCAGCATATTATTATAGTTCTTCCCAACCTATTTGTCTTGAGCTTCTTATTTAGTTTCGAGACATTATGAAAGGAACATTCAGCCATCTAGGAGGGTGTTAAAAGCTTCTAGGAACCCTCGTCGATCTCAGCCGTGGCCCTCACCATTGGGGAATGGGGTAACAGAGATGGTGGTCACTCAGTTAGAGCTGGAGCTCTGTTATCAGGGGAAGAAGCTCAGAGGTTTCACCTGCAAGCTCACTCGTTCGGCTCATGGTTTCTTGCCGGAGAGCTCGTACATCATCGCTGCGCAGGTCCTACTGCCTTATCTGCTGGGCGGACTGGGGATGGTGGCAGCCGGTATCGTCATGGACATTGTCCAAGTATGAGCGATTTAATCTAGATTTGGTATATTTCTTGGTTGTATCTGTTATTGATTCTGTAAATAATGATCAGTATTGATAACCATTGGCGGTACCATGGTTCAGTGATGGGATCAAATAGTAATAATTTGATACACAAAAAAGTTTTATTTTTTTTGGACATGTGCCATGGTAGTGCCATGATTTTCATTGAAGTACCTTGGAGTACTATGGAAATACCATGGGAGCACTGCAGTATTTTAGTAAGGGTATGATACTACTATATTCATATACCATGGTATGCTCACGTTACTTCAGAAATATCATATGATATACTGTACATGTCTAAAAATATGACATTAGCATTTTTTAGGTTTATTTTGTTAGTGGGTAAATGTTGAAGTATATCAGTAGCGAATGTTAAAGGTGCAATAGGTGATTGTTTTCAGAAACATTTTTTGTTATGCTGGTTGAAAGTCTCTTCACATCCCGATAGCAATCATTAAGTTAAGTGGTCTAAATGTATTTATCTGTATTTATATATTCTGTGGAAGGCGTAGGACCAAGAAATGTTCGTCCAATCAAAACGCTCAGTCCGAGCGTTTTAATTGGCTTTCCTACTTGCCTGTCAACGTATGTATTAGCATACCTCTGCGCACCTTGTTCGTGCAGACAGGATACGTCATCAGCGCGTTCACACACGCTGTGCAGACAGAGCGAGAATGGCAGACAAACATCAACAA